CCTGTCTCGTATGCCTATGCATATATATTCAATAACGTCTCTGACCAGCAATAATAAGTATACATTAAGGCCCGTTACCCTTGCAAGGTTAATTTGTTGTGATTTCTACTGTGATTTTCTTCTGATGAATGTGAACAAGGAGATGAGTTAGGAATGTTCTGAGTATACAGCTATTTCAATTAAGGTTTCATCCCCCCCCCCCCCCCCGAGCAAAGCGGAAAAGTCGAATACGAGAGCGAATTCGACTTTTCCGCTTTGCTCGGGGGACAACCTTAATTGAAATAGCTGTTTGTACCCTCATCTGAACATTCGTAACTCATCCACGCATTCACATCCATCAGAAGACTAAATTATCACAGCAAAAATTGCAAGTGTAAACAGGCCTTTAAACAGGCTGGTAGCAGCAGCAGCAGCAGCAGCAGTAGTAAAACTTTATTTACAATAATTATCTTCATCCAAATGCAACCAACATTTGAGTTCCAGGTATCATGCTGGCAGGGAAATGTATGCAAAAATAAACAAACTGAGGACAAGATGTGACCTCCTGGCGGAGGCAAATACTATAATCAATGAGACCAAACGTCTGGCTCAGTAGTTTTTCTCACACGAAAAAGCCCTCCGATCTTCTTGACTAACTTATTAGAAAAAAATTAACAAGCTAAAAATTAATTATACTGTATGAGTGAATTAAGTAACTCATCAACGTAAATGAGGAGTACAGTCGTCTGGTTAATTTGGAATAATATAGACGCAATAAAGCGCGTGAGTTCAAGGAATGGCATTTTCCACCAAACAGCAGTCCTACAGTTGAATGTTGACGACCATGCGCGAGAAACAATGTTTTTGCCATAATAATGTCATTATTTCCCGTATTATAGTCTACAAATACAATGAATAGTATTACCAACACCAAAATGCCGTACGTATATAAGCCCCCCCCCCCTCCCCCCACATATATAAGCCCCCAAATGAAACAATAACACTATAAACGAATAAAAGAACTGATTTTGAAGGATTTTGAAAATAGTTACTCTGGAATGTTCCACATCAATTAACACTCGCTCTCACCTTCAACTTCAACCAGCTTTAACCAGACGGTGTGAAAGAAGTAAGATTTATGAAAATGTGACGCTGTTTGGTGGAATCAATGCAGGAAATTTTACAGATTTTGGTCAAAAGGAAAATATGAGTCAATGCATCAGTTCCTGCTGCCAGAGAAAACAATGTGATGTTGCATTTATGTTGGGGAATGATTGTTATGGAGTGATGTGTAAAACAAAACATTTATGTGGAACTACACCAGCAAAACACGTGAAAAAATATCGACCACGCTTAGCTTATATGCATTCTGATATGGAGAATAACACTGCAGGTTAGTTTCGGGTTCACTATGGCAAGTTAGGGACATATTATCAATATACGTATGTATACCATCCATGCAGGTAAAATTCATCGCAAATAAACCCCCTACCTGGCATTGAATCGAGCAGCATATAATGTCCGTTTTTCTTTTTATATCGTACTTTTCATTTGAGTCTGAACTTGGATCTTATCGCAGCATTTCTCCTGATCGCGCAATAACTGTATTACTCCTGTCAGCTTTTAGTTGGCGTCACGCCTATTCATGTAGCACTACCCCCCCCCCTGGCCCAGCTGTTACAAGTACCAGCGCTGGTATGTTAAATCTGAGACTTTGGGTGCAATTCCCGGGTGAGATATTCAGAAATTAACTTTTTGCAACTGTTTCGACTTTATTTGAATTTTGAAGATCTCATCTCATGTTAAAATAGTTTGTGAAATAATCAAATATGTAATATATACAGCACGAGCGGCCGTTTTGTATACAAACTCGAGCCGAAGACAAGAGGTTGTATGTCTGACACAAAATGGCCGCTCATGCTGTATAGGCATATAGCTTGTGAAACGTGAGGGTTTCAGAAGTTGTGCTTTAAGAAACTATTAAAAAAGAAGTGATTTTAATTACTGAGAAATCGAGGAAAACGTTTATGCAAATCTAGAGAATTTCGTATATGTACATGTGGGTACAACACCAAATTAAACATTGATTTCTTTTGATTTTTCTTCATGAACAATTGAGTTTCACTGCTCAATACTTACTTAGTTTCCTAATTTTATCATTTTGCCCCTTTTATTCTCTTGCAATAATCCCAACGTTATGTTCCTGTTTTCTGAATGACAATCCACTATACATATATTGCTTTCAGAGTGCAGATTATTTTGAACATGGATCGGAGGTCTACTATAATATATCTTGTGATCATATTTTTAGACTCGCAATCACTATCTTCGTGTTGGAATGGACAGACATTAGTAAACTACACATTGAATGGAGGAATTGAAGCAGGAATATTTTACTCTAATGGCAACACGGATACAATGACTACATGCATGAAATATTGTTGCGAACAACATGATTGTGACCTTGCATTTCGCATTGATCAAGGATGTTATACAGTACATTGTAACGATCAAGAGCAATGTCGAGCAAGAAAAGCAAGAAAGACTCCTTTTCTTCCACAAATTGCTTTCAAAAGACCAGAAATTGCAATGGACGAAGGTAAGCTATTTGCATGGTTTTAATGACTTTTGTTGAATTTATGTTATTTATATAGACAGCACCAGTGCAAGCTATGAAGATGTGACTTTCATTTTTGATATTGAATACAAAACGATTTTAGAAGAAGTAATATAGCAAATGGTACTGGTTGACTGCAATTTGAAAATAAGTTCTAGAATTTCAGAAATTCAAAATTCAAGAATTTCCCTACTGACCGACCAACTGATGTAAATGCTATGCTGTGGTGAACCATGGAAAAAAGTCAAATATTCCGAAACGTCAAATATTCTGTTAATTTTCCAGCAGAAAGGCAATCAACCACTGACACAACACCCAAAGCACAACACGGGTCATGTCAGATTGGAGAAACACATTTCAACGCCACACTAAAGATGGGAATACATTCTGGAAAATTCAAGAAGTTGGGTCGAGTGGACAATATGGAGGATTGTATTGAAATCTGTTGCAAAGAAAATGATGTCGATGCTGCCTTCATGATGGGAAAACTTTGTTATTCTGTCAAATGTTATAACTCCGATTTATGTCAGATACGACCTGCATTTGTCTCCAGTATAGATATTCTCAACGTTAATCCAGCTGTAGCTTTCATACATAACAACAACGATCACAAAGGTAATTTTATGTAATATTTCGTCAACATGCTAACTACCATTTTGG